TTATATATATATAAGATTTACAACCCCCGGTATGCCCAAATATTTATCAGCACAAATATACTTCTAGGTGTTCGCTAATTCATTGCTTGATTATTTTTCCAGAATCTTTCCTGGTATTGAGGTCAGGCTGATAGGTCTATAATTTCCTGGATCTATTTTTTTTCCTTTTTTGAAGATGGGAATCACATCAGCTCTTTTCCAGGCTTAGGTTACAATTTAGTTAGGCAGTTTATTTGGAGAGAGGGAGAGAGAAGGAAAACAAAATTTATTATGTCCCTTTTGTCATCTGGATTATTTTGTGTGCAGTCTTTTATCACTAAAACCACATTCAATCCAGTGGTGGGTTCCTACTGGCATTCCTACCGGTTTGCTGAGCACACAGGCACACACTTGAAGTTCCAAGAGCTGGTCATTAGCTTTGAAGCCCTACACAGAGCAGTACCACAATATATCAGACAGTGTCTTCCCAGATCAGTTTAGTGCAGATATCTAGAGCGAGTCTATTTAGAGTTCTCCCTTCTTGGAAATTTCAAGATGAAGTTACAAGAAGAGAATTTTGGCAGGTCTCCTATGTAGTTCCCCAGAAATACATATGGCCCCAACCTCACCACGTGAAAGGAATACTATACCATTTCATTAAACAATCAGTAAAAATATTATCACATAAGTTTATATTTTAAGTGCTGGTTGTTGCACATTACTTTTCTTGGCATTAACTGATTGTATAAAATGGTAGGAATTTGCTTGCACAGATGGTTATATAATGTACGCAGTTCTCTTATTCAGCCAGTTTGTGTCGCTTGTGGAAGAAAAATAATGGCTTACAAACTATTGTTTAGAAAACTAATCAAGGTGTTCAGAAGAAAAAATAAAGCCATATATCACATGTTGCTGTTATGCAACATCATTTTGATATCTAGATTTTGATCTAGATATGAGGATGGATGAGTTCCAACCTCAGCAAATGAGAGATATATTTTTTAAAAGATGGATTTGCCCTAACATCTAGATAAGCATCATAGCTTCTGCTGCGAGCTAGAAGTAGTATGTTCAGATAAAGAAACATTTTGTTTTTTTATATTTTAACACAGAAATCAATAGAAAGAAAGGCAAAATGACAAAATGATTCTGTTAGAATGGGCTCAAAGGAATACAAGTGCTTTATTCAATTAAGCATAGAGAAATGTAAGTAATGAGATCAGGGAACCTAAACAAGGAAAGGATTTCTTTCCTAAACTCTTATATACAGTAAAAACAGCAAGCAAAAGGGAGAGTGTAGGGAAAGATCAAATGGAAACCTATACAGTGGCTACAGAAATAATATAAATGGCAGCATTGATTCACAGGGGGAAACTATATTATGTTATTCTTGCCAAATAGAAGACATTTATGAATGTGGCCTGTCTTAGCTAACGGTGAGGAGCTTTGCACATTTTATTATAGAAGGGCAAAAGAAAAAAAAATAAGGGGGGAAATTGGAACTTAATTATTCATAAATGTCAGAGAACAGAAGGGAATGATCTGGACTCTTTTGAAAAAAGGAGAATAAGAGACCTCCACTCAATGAAGAATTCAAAATCCTGAAACATCTGAAGACAAATGTTGCCAATGCGAGCTGTAATTCTTCATGCAGTGAAAGTACAAAAAATCATACAAGTGCCATTGAAGACCCAGGACTAGCTGGATATGAGGGGAAGAATACAGTCCTCTCTCCATTCTCCAGTACATTATTGATTATCATATTTCCTCCCTCAAACCCTTATTTAAAATGTTATTTTTCAAATCACAAACCTGAGAGCCAGCATGGTATAATGGTTAAAATTTTCAACCAAAGTTCAAGCCACCGTTAGAATGGAAATCATGAGGTGATTTTGGGACAGTTGCTATCTCTTAGATCAATAGATCTTGTTCTTTTAAGTCTGTAGTTAACAACCCTAACAGTTTCTAAACATAAATAATTTTTATTATACAGCTCTTAATCCTATGTATTCCTTGTAAATTGCTTACAGATTAGGGGGAAAATATTGTTTTGAATTGAATTGGAAGAGCAATTGCTTCATATGCTGCCTTGAAAGTTAACAAATAATAAAATAATTAATAAATCTGGTCTGTTACTTGTGCTTTTCTGAAACTGATTAATGTAAGCTGACAAACTGGTCCAAGTTATCATTTAAGCTCCAAACTATCAGTCTATGTAAGTAGCGGTATCTGCAAAACAGTTTCTCGATTTCTGCAGCTATACGTGCTTCAGAATTTATAGCTCAGCCCTAATAGCATATTAATGCTATCAATAATATTGGTTCAGGGTGGGTGAAGTTGTGGAATTCAACTTCCATAGTCATCTGCAGGAGGAAAAGGTAGGCAAATATAATCTACATCAGGACATCATTGTACAAATAACGCAAATTAGGCAATTCATTTGTGTGATGACATGAGT